TTAAAACAGGAAGATCATCAGAGAGAGTCACTAATCAACCTGGGAAACAGTAAAGGAAGGGAAATGTCAGGATCCTGTTATGATGTTAGAATTGCTTTATTAATACACATAAAAATGTAGAAATATGTTTTATTTCTATTTCAGGTCTGTGGCGTATCGTCATCGTCTCTGTGGGTTTAGCAGCTCTTTCAATAACTGTTGTGAGCGTCAACATTTGGACCAGAACTAAAGGTAAAAAGTTGAGAGAAACAACAGTTTGATAATCTGTTGAATGAAAATACTTCATTTTTGATAAATAGAAATAAGTGGCATAAAACCCTGAAACAGATTATTAATGTAAAGAGAAAAGTGGTTTGTTCTGTTTAACTCCTAACACCTGGTGGTGATGTAAGTTTTATTATAAATGTTTCAATATTTTAATGTCACCATCAGCATTTCAGATTCCTCTGATGTTTTACATTAACTTTATTAAAGTCTTTAGATAAAAATGTTGAATAGTTATTTGATAACTTCAGCTAACTGTCTCTGTTTTTTAATTTATTTGATTTTTTTCTAAAATTAATGATGTGTATTTCTGTTTATCACAAAGAGCATAAAGAAGATGACGGTGCAGTGAACGATGAAAACATCTGATTTTGTTTCCACCAAACTTTTTTCAACATCAACTCAGAAAAACTATCACTGTTGTGTAATTTCATTTTATATAATGTCACATTTTAAGACTATTGTACCATAAAACAATATGGTATTATAGTTATAACGGAATTAAAACAATATTTCTACATGTAATATTTAGAGGGTTTTTAAGTATTGCACAAATTTTGATGTTTGTTTCTTTAAATGAAATAAGTAATGAAAAATTTAATTTTGTCATGAATTGTAGGTGAGGTGGTGAGAGAACGCAGGCAGGACCCAGTTATAGATGAATGATGGTGAGTTTAATAATGGAAAACAGCTCAGGCAGTCCAGATTACAGGCTGCAAGGCAGAGCAGAAGCTAAAGCTCAGCGCCGGTAGCTAACAGTAACAATAAATGGACTTACAAGAGCTAAAGCCTACAGGACTCATCAGTACAACTGATACAACAAAACGTGACAAACAACACGACTGACTGACTGAGATACAAGACAAGGATCCGACAAGAGACAAGAGACAAAGACATAAATACACAGAGGGTGATCACAGAAGACGAGACGCCTGGAACAAATCAGGACAGCACAGAGACTCAGGAACAGAACCTATAGAAACACAGAGAAACTCAAATCCTCACACATTTTGCTTAACAAGCAGAAATCAAAAATCACATTAAAGAAACAAATCGGATACAACGTGAATGTTTTCATTAATATGTTACATTAATAACAGGTGAAATTTTTGCTGGAGATTTGAAGTTAAAAATTAAAATCTGATTTATTAAATTAAAGGAAAATATTTTTAATATGGGCAGAAATATACTGATACACATTTTCACCATATTTTGTGAAAAGACTTTTGTAATCTAGAATAAAATGTCAAGAATTTCAGTTTTGTACTTGTGTAAACGGGAAGACATGCATGTAAAAAATCCATCCTATATAAATGTTGTTCTCATAAATCAGAATGTGTGGTTCTGAATAAATGTTTCTACCTTTTAAACAACAATGTCTGAGATTTTCATCTTTCTGCATCAAAAGTTAATAATTTAAGTTTAAATAAGGGATAAAATAAAAAAAATAAATAAAAGTAATTACACCAGTTGCACATTTCATTTCAAACTAACTAAAGTTTACAAAGCAAAAAGCTGTGAGTAAATCTCTGGACTCTGGAAAACTAACTAATTTATGAATAAGTTTAAACCTGTAGATGGAAAACACTGACCGATCTGAGCTGATTGGTCAATGTCATGTCAATCATAAATTTAACCATCCAATCAGAGAACAGATGGTTTGGCTGTCAGACCTGATTTTACTGAGTTTCAGATAAAATCTGATTCTGTAAATGTGTTGCTCTGTAGCTGCAGGTTTAAAATAAACTGAGTTGATTAGTGAATAAAATGTCCCATCAACGTTCTAACCAGGTGTATTTATGTGGTTATTGAGGGTTAAAACCTCAGAGCTCTGCTGCTGCTGCTGTTCACTACAGCAAACACTTCATCATTTCACAGAAAGACACTTCAGAGATCAAACTGGAAACCAGCAGGTTTTAAAAAGTTAAATAAATGGTAACTGATGGATTTATAAAACTGGACTTTTCACCACTGACTCTTCATCAACCAATCAGATTTCCTGGATTCTTCAGCTTAATTATCCGAGTCTCTAACAGACCCAAACAAAAGAGAAAATACATCTATTTACAACATTAATGTAATCTAAAAATATTCACATCTTGATTTTTCTTCTTTTTTTAGAAGTCCTGCACTGTGTGTCATGTTATAAACCAGTGGGGTCCAAAGTGGGTCCTGGAGGCCCGGCATCCTGCATGTTTTATTCTCTCCCTGGTTCAAACACACCTGGATCAACTAATGGCTCATTAGAAGGTCTAAAAAGATCATTGACCTGCTGCAAAGGTTGTTGTTACCAGCAGGGAGAGACTAAAACATGCAGGATGCCGGGCCTCCAGGACCCACTTTGGGCACCACTGTCATAAACAGACATGTATGAGTTCATAGTTTTATTCAGTTCTTTCTTAAATGCAGCTTATTTCAGTTTACAGGAACTAAATGGTTTCCATGCTCTCATCATGGTTTTAACCGTCTATCTGCTCATCTTAACAGTTAAAACCTTCAGAGCTCTTTAGCCACATTCTCACAGAAAACTTCCTGTTTTCTTCTCAGAAATAAACCGTTCAGTGGAACATGAACCAATAAAGGGTCTGAGGTCAGCTACACATCTGAACCTCATCATGGAGGTGAGAAAATGACCTGGGCATTCACACATATCTAACTTTAACTTCACACATTCATCATCTTTCTCTGGTTAAAACCTCAGAGCTCTGCTGCTGCTGCTGTTCACTACAGCAAACACTTCCTCATCATTTCACAGAAAGACACTTCAGAGATCAAACTGGAAACCAGCAGGTTTTAAAAAGTTAAATAAATGGTAACTGGGATGGATTTATAAAACTGGACTTTCAATCTGCTACTCGTCATCATCACCAATCAGATCTCCTTTATCCAGATTTCTAAGACCAAACTAGAAGAAGTTCATTTTTCACATTAATCTAAAAATGCATCTTGGTCTTCTTCCTTTTTTAAAGACTTCTTGCATGTCACTGACTGTCATGTCACAAAGTGGAACCAAATTAAATCCTCTTGCAACGTTAATATTTAGTTTTTTCAGAACATCTTTTATGGATTTCAAAGTAAATGCATAATAAGTAATAAACCACACTTTGGTCATCAACGCTGTGAAACCAAGCAGATGTTACCAAATAAAGCTCTGAGCCTCCATCAGTCAGAGTGAGGAAGTGGTGAGTATCAGGAAGTAGAAGCTCCATCTGTGTTCAGTCAGTCAGTCTGACTGTGAGAGCAACAGACGCACAATGGCTCAACTCCCATGGATTCAAGGCTTTTTATTCATCATCCTGCAGCTCACAGGTAGGAAGACACTAAACATTTCTATAGAGCTACAGACCATAGATCTGCTTTACTCACTGGGTTCAGATTTAATATTTATGCTCCTGTTTTATCTTCCAACAGTCACTGCAGAGAGAACATCTGTTATAAAGAGAGCTGGAGATGAAGTCATGTTGTCATGTTCAGAACTGATCGATGGTCAGCAGAACTGTAGTGCTACAACATGGAGATTTTCTGATTTAAAAAGCGGAACAACAGAAGCGCTGGTTGACCTTGGTCAGATTAAGAGCTCTAAACCAAACAGACTGAATCTGACATCAAAATGTTCTCTGGTTATAAAGAAGGTCAGAGAGGAAGATGCTGGACGTTATGAATGTCAACAGTGGAATACAAGAGGCGAACACACTCTGGTTCATGAGTCTGTAATAGATCTGTCTGTTGTTAACTGTGAGTTTTAATATTAGTGATTATTTCCTGATTATTATTATTATTATTATTATTATTATTATTTTTTTTATTTTTATTATTATTATTAGTTTTTTCTGTTTTCAGCAGGAAAAGTTCAACCAACAACAAAACCTGGAAACACAAAATCAGAGACAACCAAACAAAAAACAGACGATGTTTCAAAAACCTCTGAAGGTAATGATTTTACTAATACTCAAAATGTAATATTAAATTTTTTTCATTTTGTGTTTGATTATAATTTTCTTCAGTTTGTTACTTTAATAACCAAACTTTTGTTTAGCGTCACTGATATTATATGAAGATTTGATCACATTTGGGTTTTTAATTCACTGATAAAAATATGTATTTTAATTTACACTGAAAATCCCCAGATTTTAATTTAATAAAAACTGGATGAAGGCATCAGATACGAACATAAAAACATTTCAATCTGGAAAGACTCAGACGAAGAAAAAGGAACAATTAAAAGGTTTAATGACAGCAATGAATAACAGTTCTTTGGCGCTCGGGCCCCGGCAGCTGATCTGAGCTGAGATTTGATGTGAACTCGATGAACATCCCGATAACCGATTAGGGATGCTCTCCCCTGGGGCCCGACACTGGTGGTGGAGGTCTGGAAAGGGTGCCATCCTGGAGAGCCGAAGGATGTGGGTGGAGAAGGGGAGGTGGTGGGTTGAACGCAGCTGGGAAGCGGCCGACGACTTGGGTGTGGATCCTTTTATGCTGAGCTTGATTGATGATTGGACACGCCAGGTGAGGTCCAGCGCTGAGGACTGAGATGAGCATGACGCCGATGGACGAACGGAGGGAATGGAGTCTTCCAGGTTGAATTTTCGCTATTAGCTTCATTTACTGTGTTTTTCTGTTTGTGTTTTTGACTTCAGTGACGACAGAAGGAAACTCTGGATCAACAACGAAACCTGGAAACAGAAATTCACTGTCAGTCAAACCTACAGTTCATGTTTCAGCATCAGTTCATGGTAATAATGTTTATTGTCTAAAAATATTATTTAAAGATTTACTTGGTTATTCAATTGTCTTCTAAAGCACAACAATTTAAATTGAGGTTTGAGGTTTGATGTAATCTTCTGTTCTAAAATACAAATGAAAACAAATTTAAGGGGCACATTTGTTTCACACCGGATGAGAGAGCAATAAAGAACATCATCAATGTAAAGACATGTGAGGTATGGAAGAACAAACTAAAGTTTTTTTAATATGTCAGTTTTGGTTTTCCATGAGTCAGCAGATTTATGATTTTTGTTAAATCTGTTGTTTACTTAATATTAGATTAAAGTTAAGATATTTAGAAACAAGATTAATGACTCATGTTATTTGGTTTGACTCTGAATAACCTGACATCTGTGTCGTAGAAGAATAAAAGCCCATCATAACCTGGTGTGATGACCCAGTGCATGCTGGGAGATGTATTCCACCAGTCTCTTTTGTTCAGAGTTTTGAAGTCCAGTTTAAACAGTTAGTTCTCTGTCCTTCTTGTGGTTATATTTCATGTTGTTAGAGAAAAAATCTTTCTGCTTGTCATTTACCACAGGACTTTAAAAAGTTAACCTTTTATGACTCAGTGACAGATTAGTCAACCAAAATAATCTGGATAAATCCTGAGTTTTTAAGCTGTTCTTGGTTGTCTGGAGAAAATTAGTCTTTTTATTTTTTTCAATTTAGGGTTTGTCTTAGTTATATGCATAAAACATTCACATAGACCAACCATCAGACTCTTCTGTCTAATCTAAAGATTAAAGAGCTGTAATCTGTTATAATCTTTACTTCAATGTTTTCAGGTTTGACAAAGTTATGGATAATCATTGCTGCAACTGTTGGTTCAGTTCTGCTTCTAACAATTGTTGCTGCAGGAATCAGATGGAGAAAAACTAAAGGTGAGAACATTTTAAAGATCCAATCTTATATTTAGAAACACGATTAATTAATCTATCTTTTGCAAACAAAATGCATTTTTTTACTTTTCAGAAAATAAGACATGGATGAAAAAAAGCACTGTAAGTTCAATAGCTTTAACTTTTGTCTTACTTTTATTGAACAGAGGGCTTTTAGTTTGAAAGAAAACTATAAAATGTCAGCAGTTTGTGCCTTTTTCTTTAATTTTACCTCTAATAATCATAAAGCTCCAAAGTCTTTCAAAGGACCACGGTTCAATATGTATTAACATAAACCAGACAACATCTCTCTCTTTATTTGGTTGAGGTTTTAATCATCTTTATCTCCTATGATGGTGGAAAACCTTAAACAACCTCCATTATATTTATTTAAATGTTACAT